AACAGGGATTAAAGTTAAAATCTTTAGAATAATCCTAAAGTGACGTATCTGATAGGGTTATGAGAAGCTTTGGTAGCTGATTTGATTCAGAGGAGATTCGGCCCAATTTGGTGATGGAATCTCCAAATCGGAATTGAATTGGGACACCAATTAAAAGGTCCGAATTGAATTGGAAGCCTCTGAATTGATTGGGAAAAAGATTTGGTGCCGCTTCAGAGACTCGGCTGTAGACTAAACGGGCAGCAGTCCTTCCCACCCTGGACACCGCTGCCTCCAGTTGGTAAGTCTGTGGTGGACAGAGCAGGGAGAGAAGGGGTATGGGAGAGGGTGGGATTGGGAATGGGACAAGCTTCCCAGCAAGGGTCGGGGGCACAGGACTCGGGATTCAGAGAGGGGGCCGGGGGAGGGGGGGGGGCACAGCAGCGCTCGGAATGGGGGCTATGCAGGAGCAGCTCACTCCGTGTGGAAGAGGGCAAGCAGCAGCAGAGCACAGCCCGCCACTTGCCCAGCTGGGGATGGGGTTGGGGGGGGACACACGACACTATGTCCTGCCACCACTTGCCCCCGGCCACCCGGAGCGAGCTGCGCCCACATCCTACCCCAACTGGGCAAGTGGCAGCAGGGCAAAGCCCCCGCTCCACGTGCTGCTGCGCCTGCATCCCGCGCCCCCCTGCTCCCCCTCCCCGAATCACATGCCCCCTGCCCCGGCTGGGCAGATTGTCCCAGCCCCAGCCCCAATCCCTCCCTCCCTCCCCCCCACCATGCCCCTTCCTTCCCTCCTCCACCCACCACAACAGACTTACCAGCTGGAGGCTGCTGTGGCCAGCATGGTGAGGACAGCTGCCTGTTTAATTTTTGTCCAAATCTCTAAAGCGGCACTGAATTATCAGATCAGATTTGGCCGAATCGAATCGGGACAGTGATACAAATCTTCGAATTGAATCACGGTCCCTCTAAATCATCCGAATCCAAATCCAAAGTGAATACTTGCTGCTTCGCACAGGCCTAATATCTGATTGTTTAATAATCACACTACTTAAATAATAATAAGTTAACAACAATAGCAAGATCTCCATGTCACACCAGTTTAACACTGTTACTTTAACTATGCCAAAATGACAATAAAACTTATATTGTTAATTACCGATATATTTGAAGCTAACTTGAAAAAAACAATAGAAGAGGGCAACGAAACATTTTTTTTTCCTGAAATGGATGCAATACACTCTAGTTACCTGACAGGAAGGGTCCGATCACCTTTCCTTCGGTCCATCTCTCTCTGAGGAACAGGATACCAGCGGAAATTCAATTTCCAGTTGAACCCACCATAGGTCATATCAGAGCCCGCCATATATTCAAAGGTGTCATCACTAATTACATCAATGATGGGACACACTACAGTTCTCCTAGAGAAAGAAGTGCCAAAACCTATTAGTTGAAGTGACAAACTGCTCTGAATTTTTTTGGTCTACTATATATTACAGAAATGATAATAAACATCACAGCATGCAAAGCTTCTTTTGGTTGTTTTTAAAATACATATATTTAACAAGTTATAAGAGTTATAAGTTATAATACAAAGTTACAAAGTTATAAACTTTTTACCCCTCTGTGTGTTACTGTTTGCCAACAAGCCAAATAAGCCCTTGTTCATACTGCAACATTTTTGTAATTTAACAAATAAATGGTGAGTAATTTATACCAAAGGTAAAATAAAAAGAAAAACTATCTGCATCAGCAATACTCAAAACAACGTCACATTGGATATATTCTTTAACTGTAGAAACACAACCACATTTTGTGGACAGTCAAATCCTTGCTCCGCCTCCTCCTCCATAAAAGTGCCTTCACAATAGGGCTATATAGTGTGAATTGACATACTGTATGCTTTTAAAAAAAAATTAGCAGCAGCATCATAGCTGAATTCTAGGTTTCCAACTACAGTATATGAGAGTGGCTCAGACAGCCCCCTAACTTTAAAGCAAAGAATGCCCTGCAGATCACTTCTTATTTACAGCCCTGTATATATCACAGATAAATGTGTAATATTCAAAATATAGCCTTTATAAACATGAAATCATTGTGAGGACCCAAGAAGAATATGTCAAACATAACTCCTTCTAAACCAGTTGGTTTTCCGTGCAGTTAAGGCATTGTTTGTTCTTTAAGGTAATTATAGTAGGGAAATATGCTGGCTGTTTTCAGTACGTGTGGGCTGCAGCCAAGCTATTTAATATGAATTTTCTAATCTGTCATGGGAGAGACTCACTGATCAGAAAGATCACGTGAAACACATCCCTGCTGGTTTTAATAATACTGTTGTTTTCTTTGTGTAAAAAAAAAAAAAAAAAAAAAAAGACAATGTGCATCAAAAAATAGTTAAGATCACAAAACTGCTGCCTCAATTGACAGTATGCCACTTCTGTATAATGGGTAACTATCTAGATTAGATATCTAGATGTAACATACACATTAAACAATAAATTCCAGATCTGAATTCAAACAAGGCCAATTATTACCATCCTTTTATTCTGTAGTCATAAGGCTATACATGTTTATTAAAAGTCTGAGCCTCTTCTAATTTCTAAGCCTCTATAAATAATGGTTAAAACATGTTTAAGTGGCACTTAATGCATACATTGGTGTCTCAATATGACAGTTATTAAAACACTAGCTAACTGCCCATCAAGAATGATGGGGGTGGTGGGTGATTAAAGGGGAGGGGATGGGCTGGGATGGAGTGCTGCCACCTAATGCCCCATGCTGCTGCTGTTCTGCCTCTTGCAGGGAGTGCGATGGGGGAGCAGAGGCCAACGCTGCTGGCTGATGGAAGCAGCCAATCAATCAGAGTGCGAATAAAGTGTGACAGACCGACCGACTGACAGAACTTAGGCTTTTATAATATTAAAATGCTGTAACAATATATGAACTCTGCTACAGCTTTACTTTGCAAGCTAGATTTATTTTTTTTTTAATCAACATAGCTTTCCTATGTTGAGGGCATCAGAGGGTTATGCAGGTGAGAATTTGGATGACAGAACTTGTAAATGGGAAGGCATACCAAGAAAGTAAAAAACAGATACGAGGAACACTAACATCTTCCCCGGACAGCTCTGCAAGTAGACCTCAACTTAAGCATGTAACATAGAGCATAAGCTCTTCTTTTACACTGCTTGAACTAGCAGATGCTAACCATCAGTAAATGATGACAGTAATGAACATCAGGCTCTTAACTATGCATCAGGCTTGTAATTAAGCATTTACACCAGGCCCAATCAAATAGCTCAAAGGACACACTCATTTTGTTTGTCAGCTATGGTCAGAAGAAATTCGCCTTGGCCTGTTCCTCCAGGAAAGGAAGAGTTCAATAAGGCACTGCAGAGTAGGAGTTTTGAAGTGATGGGAGCCCAAGAAGGGTGGCTGTGCCTTAAGGAAATGATCCTTCGGGCACTAAGGGAGACAATCCCGATGCAAGGAAAAAGAGGGAAAGGGGCCAGGAGGCTTCCTTGGCTGACCAGAGAAATCCAGGGCAGCCTATGGGCCAAAAGGGGAGCACATAAAAAGTGGAAACAGGGAGAGATCACCAAAGAGGAGTATACCTCCTCTGCTCGTGCTTGTAGGGAGGCAGTTAGACGGGCCAAAGCTACCATGGAGCTGAGGATGGCATCCCAAGTAAAGGATAACAAGAAATTGTTTTTTAGATATATAGGGAGTAAAAGGAAGGCCCAGGGAGAAATAGGACCCCTACTAAATGGGCAGAAGCAATTGGTGATGGACAGAGGGGATAAGGCTGAACTCCTCAATGAGTTCTTTGCCTCAGTGTTCCTAAGCGAGGGGCACGACAAGTCTCTCATTGGGGTTGTAGAGAGGCAGCAGCAAGGTGCCAGACTACCATGAGTAGACCCTGAGATGGTGCAGTCACTTGGAAGAACTGGATGCCTTTAAGTCGGCAGGCCCGGATGAGCTCCATCCGAGGGTGCTGAAGGCACTGGCC